GAGGCAAAGGAGGAGGTAGGATTTTGTTCCTTCATGGCGGTTCACCCATCCCTCCACGACGACGCTTTGCATGAGTTACCGGGGCCCCCACACCTCACAGAGGGTCACGCCAGGCTGCGTTAGCAGGTTTAGACGCGGGCTTGGGTCTTGTGGGCCGAAGTACGAGCTGTTCGGGTGTGCGATGGCCCAACACCTTGGCCTAAAACGTGAGATACGTGTTGGAAACTTTGCTGGGCGAGCCAGCTGCTAAGCTGTCTGCAGCTTGGAGCTTTGCTGAACGGGCACGCTCTGGTTTGGAGAAGGCTCTTCTCCCGAACAGCAGCATTTCCCCTTCCAGAGCCGGAGATGCTCGCTCTGAAAGTGATGATCACTTGCAAAGTGACAGAGGTTTAACCGGCACACTACCTGGAAGTAAAACTTTTTCACCCCAGTATGGTAAAAAGAAGCCAGCCTAGAGAGAGAACTGTTGAATGAAGCTGCACTTTTAGATAGTCATCGCCATGAGGTCTGTAATTTCATAAGATGCCTAGAATTTGGGTGGGCCTTCATGAAGTAGCGTATGCGTCATGTTATTTTGTGTTACAGTTCTGAAAAAGCGCTGCTTTATATGCTCTGTGCTTTTTAGTGACACCTCTTTCTTTACGCAGCCAAAGAGAAGGTCAGCTAGACTATCCGCTGTAAGTATCTTTATTTGTTTATTTAATATGACATTGCATGTCATATGTGTTCTGGGGGACAATTATAGAGAAATTATGGGTTTTTTCAATAGTATGTTGAGGGGCACAGTTAGAGTATTGTCCTATGTAAACATAAAATTCCTTCGCCGTGTTCCCAAGTCTTGAGTATGAGCAGATCATAGGCTTACTTCTAGATATTTCATGTGAAATAGAACATCTGTGTTAGTTACCATACACTCTGGATGCATGTGGCAGGTATCCAGAGTCAAGGAATACTGATTTCAAATGGATTTGTTCTCTGTAGGTCTTCTCCTTACAGATCCCTACTCATAGCTGTATAAATTATGTACTCTCTCCTTTCACTTGTAATTTGCCCGTTGATTTTGACGGCTCAGCTGGGTTGGGTAAACTGAGACCTGCAGAGTGTAAAAGTATTTCAGGCAGTAGTTCTTCAGCCCAGAGCCACAGTGTCATATAGGCTTCATTTCACTTGGCATCCTTTTCCACAGACTGGACGTTTCGTGGACTCAGTCCTTTTTTAAGCTACCTTGGAAATGCCAAATGGATAATGGTTACAAAAATATTTCATTTTAGTGAAAGCTAAGATGTGTTCATACACAGAGTCATCTGCAAATGTTACTATTACATTTCGTATTTGACAGAGGCTTGCGTTTCCAGCAGGCAGTGACGCTCAGGCATAATAATGAAGGGCTCTCCTACTACTACTGCTCAGCGTCTGTACCATTACCACTGAAACATGCAGGAGGAAACGCGGTTTGGGATGACAAAACATGCTGCTTTGTCTCTGACACGTTTACTCCTCATACTAGAATGAAGCTTACAGCTCGAAAATATTTTTTGTTTCAGTAGTTTTCAAAAGTAACAAACACTTCTGAAACATGTGTAGTGTTCGTCTGACTCTATATTTCTCATGTTGTTTTGTACAGAAACCTGCTCCTCCTAAGCCGGAGCCAAAGCCCAAAAAGGCAGCACCTAAGGTAAGTATTTCAGATATCTTGAAATGAAGTTATAGTCTTCTTTTTCAAGGTGTTCATAGGGGGGGGAAAAGTCCGTAACCAATCATTTTGTTTTTTCATAATTTTATTTAAAGAACTGAGATTGAATTGTGTAAGTTAAAGTGAAAGATGTAAAGGTAATTTTTTCCAATGGCTAGTGAAGGAATGTGGTAACTGATCAGATTTTAAATCAGTTGTGGTGAGACTTTACTGCTTGCCTTGCAAGGCCATTCTGTAGTTTCGTATAATGTATTGTAGGTTAGGGAAAATGATGCTTTGAGTAGAGATTAGAGACTCAGTTAGAGAAGGCATTTAAAATAATGCTTTTAGCTACAGTTTCTTACTCTATTTTTAGTCAAAGATACTGTTTTCAGTTTATCAGACTTTAATCACTGGAGATAAAGTTCTACATATGTGCTCCCTGGGGCTGGATATTTTTGGAGATGTCAAAAATGTTGACATATCTGACAGTAAAGTTAAAAAACAAACTATTTAAAGCTCCTGTGGGCTTTGGAGAGAGAACTTGAAAGTTAAAAGGGGACAGTTCTGGAATCCATGAGGTATTTCTTTGTGTCCCCTTCCTCCCACAAACTCTCCCAGTGGTCACCGTCTGCCATGTTCTGTCAGACCTGTCTATACAAATTCAGATTGCATCAGGCATTTGCTGCTGGAAAAAACAAGCTTTCTAAATCTTTTTAGCCTGTTCCCAGCATACATTTTCCTGTATGGTTTTGGGTGGTTTTATGGGCAAAGCACAAGTGCAACAGACCGTTTACTTGCAGAAGGGAATGACTGGCTGAGAACGAGGAGCCCCTGTTTGTGCATTTAAAAGCCCTTGCGGTTGGACATGGCATCACAAACTTTTGGATCACAAAAAACTATTCTGCCTCCACGTTTTACCATATGGAGCAGCAAAAAAGTCATGAGAGATGGGCAAGAAGGAGAACCCAGCTTTCCATTCTGGGGACCCCGCATCTCAGCTATGTAATCGCAGTGGTGTTCGGATGCAAGTTTTTCACATCTGTGTCTTAGCTGCACAGCCTAATTGCTAGAGCCCACTCCACAGCGGTAGGGGAACCTAGGAATCCTGCTGCTCAGCATTCCTGTGGTGTGAGCTGCTGGCAAAGTGTGTATTGTATCTCCCTCTAGTGGCTGGTCCCCCTAGAAGATGGGAGCCTGCTGCTGATAGTTGCTCTTTTAGCCCAAGTGGTAGAGAGCTGGCTTGGGGATCAAAAAGTCCTGAGTTCAACCTCTGCTGATGACCCATGCAGAGGTCAGTGCAGTTGCATATGATGCACTTTGTTGGATTTTTTTTTTTTCAAGTTTGCTTTTTTTATTTTTATGGGACCATCTCAGGGATTGTGCACAAAACCTATGTTAAAAGAATTTTAAAGTTGCAAAAGTAAGCGTTCAAAAGTTAAGGACTGTAAGTAACTGTCAAAACTTAGTTCGGTCCCTTACTGCAGAAGCTGTATGATGCAGTCTCCCTCTGGGATCCTATGCTATTTAGTTCTCCTGGAATGATGCCTTGCTCATTGCACAGCACAGGGGGGAGTGGGGCCTGGAAGGAATTTCTTCTCATGTATTTCAGGTGCTAATTTGAAGCCAGGATACGTGAGCTGCAGTTTTGGCTCCCTGAAACTCCTGTCTGATACTGGATCAATATCTGTGCAAAAGGGGATGTAATAGGAACTGTGAAGGCGTCTTTAATTGTTATTTCCCCCAAATGCTTAACTTTGCAACCTTCAGGTTCTTTGAATGTTTCTTCTGTATAACAGTAGATTTCATCCTCTTAAACTTATCTGTATTGAAAAAAAACAGAGTTGGAAAAAATGAAATACTGTATAAAATGCATGACGTTATTGCTGAATTGATGTTGCCCTCTGTATGGAAAAATTGTTCTCGAAAAATTAATCAAATGGTATTGGCTTGGTGAGATCTCTCAGAACTAGGTAAGAGGAGGGAAAAAGCTTGAGAATTGAAAAATAACAGTATCTCCTTGGGTATGTTTTACCTGGGCTCATTTGGTTTTGGAAGGAGGCTTCATCCCTTACAGAACAGCCATTAGGTTTGTCCCCAAAAGCCAGGGATTGTGCAGAACGGAGCAGAGATCCTGGAGTCCTCCCTGCCAGCTGTGTGTTGCAGGAAGCCTTCTCTCCGTTCAGTCCTCTCAGGGAAGCCACTTTCTGTCAGCTCTTCTGGAATCCTTTGTAAAGAGGGGCTCTACCAGCCAAGAGTGAGCTACAGAAAATGACAATTTTATTTCTATGAATACTTTGTTGTCTTTTTTAATGAGATGAGGGAAAAGATACCCTTCTTGAAGCAGTCCCAAGTCTTTAAAACTCCTTTATTGGTTGTGTTGGAAGAGCAAGTGACTAACACACCAGTGCTCGTCAATCTGGAGCATACCGGTGCTGCTAGAGGAACTCTTCGCAGTGGACAACTTGGGTGTGCTTGTTGAGGTTCTGTTCAGGTGACAGAGCAAGCCAGTACCATAGCAGCATCGCAACTCCGGGTCTTCACGCTGCCGAACAGTACCAGGATAGGTACTGTTAGGTGCCAGTATTACTGTGATATCTATCTTTCCGGGCCTTTTACTTTTTTTAAGTGTTTTCATAACTTCTAGTCGTTAGGGCAACTCCATCTCCAGAGAATATGTATATAATTTAGTAACTACCTGTTTATCTTTGCTTACTTGTGAGTAGTACTTGCAGATATTTATGGTTCCTTTATTGGGGCTAGGTTAACCGTGCAAGGAGGTGAGCTAGTTTGCTTAGTGCAGTTACTGGCAGCAAGAAGCAGCTCCTCAGAAGTAAAACTAATGAGAGTTTTGATTGTTGCTGTAGTGGGATCAGGATTTGACCCCCACCATATAGAAAACAAAAGCTGCAGCATCAAGTTTTGTTTTGATTTAGCCTGATCAGCCATAAAAGAAACTGCACTTAAATAATAACTGCAAAGTTTCCTTTGTTATTGAAGTGATGCTGTTGAGCCCCAACTTGTGTACCATGCACATCGTTTATTATTGTAAGGAATATTTCTGGCAGGGGAGGGGAAAGTCCTTCAGCTTTGTTACGGTATTCTAAATCGGCATTAATAGCACATCTGAAGTGTTCTGGCATTTTCACTGGTTGTACACGTTCTTTTTGTTCTGTGGTATGCCTTTCAGCAGCACAGCAGAAATACAGGCCAGTTCAACTCTGACATTTTTTAGCTAATTTAATTGAAAGCCTATTTAAAATGGAAATGCTTTTAACCCTAGTCATGACTGCTATTATGTACTTCCTAGTAACACATTCAGGACAGAATAGAAGGGAAAGTACTTCTCCATAGAAACTCTCATCTCATCTCTGTCAGTGGGAAGTTCAGCGAGTAGACAGACAACTTTAGAGTTGCGAATGTGCATATGCAGATGTAAAAGGTGGAAATCATATTTACCGTGTCATGGTCTGTTTTCTTAACAGAAAGAAAAGGCAGCAAATGATAAAAAGGAGGACAAAAAAGCAGCAACAAAAGGGAAGAAAGGAGCCAAAGGCAAAGATGAAACTAAACAGGAGGATGCTAAAGAAGAAAACCACTCTGAAAATGGAGATACCAAAACTAATGAGGTACTTTAGCTACAGTAAACGTGGGAGTAAACACAGATGTGTAATACATCTGCAGGAACTAATGATTGGGCCTCCTGTCAGAAGGTGGTGTGTTTCACTGCCTTCCTGTAAAGACAGATCAGCTGCAGTATCTGCGCAGGGCAACTCTCAAAGGGAGCCTGAAAGAATAGCATTCTCCTTCAAACACATCCCTGCTATGTGGTAGAGCCCTTCCACAGGTGGTCTGTGATATCCTAGTGTCCTTGTCTGGGTTGGCACAAGAGCAAAGCAGGATATTTGGGGAACAATAGAGCTCAGTAAGATTGCTATCCAGCCCTGAGCTGACTTTGCATATCCTCTCTGGACTGCTGGATTGCCTCTTCTGCTCAGCACGGGCTGGTACTGTGCCAGAAATCTGGTTTTAAGTTTTACACAATTCTTTAAAACAATTCTTCGCATCAGAACAATTCAACAAAAGTTCTGCAAAATAAAACTTGGTCTTGTCTCTTCATCTACAAGCCTCTTTCTTACAGGTTCTCACTACATCAGCTACTTACCTAAGAGCTACTGTTTTCTAGGACTAGCCACAAACTTCAGTCATCTGCTTATGGCCATTTCCTAGCAGATTTCTTGCTAATGGTAGAAGTGTAATGTTTGCTCCAGGCCCTCATTGCTGTTTTGAGCGATAGACTAGCCTGTTGCATTCTCTGTTGCTTTTGATTAAGAGTGATCTGTCCTCATGTGTTGAGTATCATTATACGTTAATGGGTAATTTTTTCTTTCATTCTTAAAACTAATTCAAAAGTTTCTCTGCTGAAAAAGTAATATGGGGCTAAGGTACTTCAAAGTATCTTTGACAGGAGCTTTGCAGTTTTGATGAGTTGACTTAAAAGCTAATACCAGATGGTCTTATAGAAAACGGAGGTGAGAACCGTTTTCCTTGAAGTTTGGACAATAGACAAGTATCACAGTTTTACATGTAGTTCTTATACATCCCTGTGACTTATGGAGATAAGGACTTCAACTTTGCCTAGCATATGATTGGTCTGAATCTAATCTATGTTCCAAACTTCTGCCTCTTTGTTTTTTAACATTCCAGTATTAACTTGATCATCGATTAATACTCTTTTGTGTTTAATTTCAAGAATTGTCAGCCAGCATTTTGTTTTACTAGTATTTTCTATAGTAGATGTGCGTTCTTGTCTATCTACATAAAATGTTTGTCCGTGTGTGCTTACAAACTAGTCTCTCTTTGATGACTGTTAGAATGGAATCCGATTAGAATTAGAAATAATATATCTATTCTTCCCAAACACTTTTGTAGGCACCAGCTGCTGAAGCATCTGATGATAAGGAAGCCAAGTCCGAGTAATGTTAACCCTGCCCTATATCTCCATCATTTGGTATCCGTACCTCCATGCTGTATTGTTAACAGAGAGGAATATTTTTATCAACTATTTTATAAATGCAGGTTTTTTTAGCATGAATTTAATTATGGAACATCTTCATCTCGGTTACTTGGGAATTAAATCCCTAACAAACAAAACAAAACAAAAAAAAAATCATTGTTTTTAAATTTTGTGATTGTAATAGTTTGTATGGTACATGGAAAGAATAAGTGGTGGTAGCTTTTGACTTCTGTCAGTGTGTCCCTTTTTGTGTAAGTCATGCTTACAGACTTCAGATTTTAATTTTACCCTTGTATGTGTTGTATGGTTTCTTAAAGTGGGGAGGTCTCAAAACAAATAACTGTGTTAAACATTCCAGTGGTTCTGTGGGTTGCTTTTATAAAGAAGGTGAGATATTTTCATGAAAAACCTAAGAGCTGGAAATCTGTTGTTTCCCAAATGTAATTTTATTTTGTCAGTTTTGAAAAATAAATAAATAAAAGTGTAATCATGTTTTTAAATGAAATACAAACATTTCTTTTAAAAGGGCAGGTTGGTTGTATGTACCCACTGTTAGGAATTTTGCTGGATTTATCTTAATAAAAAAGACTCCTCAAAAGCTGATTGTGGTTTGTTGCTTGTGCTGCAAACATGTACTGCTGGAAAGCTGTCAAATTCCCGAAGAGTAGTACAGGGCTTCAGGTTGAGAGAACCGGTGCAGCTAGAAAGCTTTGAGGCCATAGCATGTGCTTGAGCCTCTGCTTTCTTCAGTTATGTAAACAAATACCACTGTATGGCTAGCCTCCCTGCAGATGAAATGGGAATAGGTTGACTTCAGGGGAAATGTGCTAACTTACACCAGCTGGGAATTTCAGCCAGTGTTTTCAGACAAAGGCTTAACTGGTAAAATGTGTTACTTACTCGAGTAAAGGTGGGATACGTGGTATTGTCAAATATGTCGTTTAAGCATTACCGATGTTATTATAAATTATAGATGGTATGGTCTAGTTTTCTTTCATGTGCCTATTAATTGAATAGGACGTGGGTGGGAGTTCCTCTTAGAAATATTGCACAAGCTACCTCGCAGAAGCTTAGAGGCTATCGTGCTTGCATCAAACCCTTAACAGTGTAAGCTAGTTTCCTGGTATGGTGTGGGAATGCTCATAGGACTGGTTAAAGTGCATGCTTCCGTAACTTCCACAACTAGTTTATAGTTTTCTTATTTGAAAATGTGTTACTTAGCAAATGATTTCTTGGACTCATTTAGCATCCCCTAGCGAGATGCAAGTAGGTGTACAGAAGTGCTTTACATTAATGCAGTGAGCTTCCCAATTAGTGAAAGCTTCATTATTTTGGGAAATGACAGCTACGCTCAGAGACAGTATTTAAGTGGAGTTTTAATAGTGCTTTTTACCTAATCTTATTTTGGCACTACAGCTATTCCATGTAACTTTGTCAAGGACGCTTCAGATCTTCCTCTGAAAGCCTACCTTTATATAAAGTCTCTTCACATTGATGACCAAATACATCACATATTTAATAGGAAGAAAAATGTCTGCAATGCAGAAGCCTTATCTTTTGCATAAGATTGTTTCACAACCCAGAAATGTGAAATACCAAGAGCTTGCATGTTTTATCTCAAACCCAAAATCTCACTCAGCGTCTTGGTGCATAGTGTCTTACTCTGAGTGTATCAAATGTGTGCTCCAGGATCAGTACCCCAGGGCACTGGCTACTGCATGATGTTTAATGTGCATTTAATCTTCAAGGCCTAAAGCACTGGGGATTTTTATTGCTGCTGTGTCTTTCATTCTGTAGAGCTGCTGTATAAATTCATCAGGGTTAACTGAAGTAGATCTTCCTCAGCAGAAAAGGTGAGAGAGCATTTAGGGGCCTTTTCCTGTGCAGTGTATTCCCTTCATCCACTGCAACCTAGATACAGTGACTTTCAGGCATACCCTGTAGTGTCTCTCCTGGAGTGAGAACTGATGGAGAGACGTAGCTAGAATCCCGGTCCGATGGCAACGTGGGCGTTTCACATGCTGTGGAGCTGAGAGCTGGTGATGAGGTGCGAGGAGGTGAACGGGGAAGCTGAATGTTGCTACTTCTTGTCAATGTATGTGGTTGCTGTGGTACTAGGATTTTTAATATGTGTCACGGACGTCTTTCTGTAGCTTTTTGCTGGAAATGTGATAAAATAGTATTGTAGGGCGTAGGGCAGGTGGGCTAAGGTACATGTGTTTTGTTGTCTCTCTTCCCTCCTAGGGTTGTCTCCTGTGCCATGCATAGATCAGACAGAGTCTGAAAAATGTAGGATAACAGTAAAACCAGGGAGCTTCTCAATGTTCCCAGTCTGGAGAGGATCTAGGGGTACTTCAGATGTCATCCCGAAATTCTTATACACAAAAAATTCTTTACTGAGTTTAGCCAGCTTTTGAATGCTAAAAGATCACTAGCGAGCACAGCAGTGTCCTTTGGACGCATCATGCAGTCAGTTGGGAGGTCTGACTGAATGCTGCTTGAAGGCGGTAAGAAATACCAGTGGGCCTATACTTCTTCAAGGAGAAAATGCATAATGGAACAATATGTTTTATACATGCAATATCCACCTCCCACCCTGCCCAATGGTTTCTCTAAAAGGGCTTTAAAATAGCAAATCTGGTTCAGTAAGGAAGGTGAGCTCATTCTCCAAACCTCAGTAACAGTGAACCATTTCTCTTCACTTTTAGCCTCTAGTCACTTAGTGTTTCAAGCGTTGTAATTTAAATACTAGCAGACACTATGAATATGACAGACATTTTCTTCTTAGCAAAGGGCTCGTCCATATACCAAGGTATAATCAGCCCGTCATACCCTAATCTAGGTTGTTCTGTATGTCAGGTCATGTTTCTCCATTTTCGTATCCAGATTGTTAAACAGAAACATATAATTGAGCGGTTGGTTTTGTTCATTTCTTCCTCTTTTAGTGCCAATGTGAGAGTTGTTCTTAATTCTTTAACTATAGTTACAATCAGATAGCTCTTTCAAGTAAGTACAGAGAGGATTGTTTGATAACTTTCAGACAAACCTACTTGCTCCTGTTCAGAACTTTTCTGAGCAGTGGGTGAGCTGCACAACTGAAGAGGTTACCTTCCTTCTACCGAATCCTCCTCATCCGTTGGTCCTGATGTCTGGACACTGAATCAAAAGCTGACTTTGCTTCCGCTCGCAGGCTTTGGTCAGCTTGTGGTTAATTGGAAGGGGGAGGTTTCAAAGAGAAAAAAGTCTTCCAATGGCCAGTCAGTTGGGTGTAGCTGATTTTCTGGTTCATTTGGAGTACACGAAGAAACTCTACCTTCCTGGAGATCCCCGGCAGCCTGATCAGCAGTGCTCGAGGCACAAGAATGATACATTTGCCTGTTTTGATGCTGGTTTTGAAAGTTTCATTGAATTACTAGAAGAAATTGACTGTGGCAGTTTGGTTATCAATAATAGCGATTAAAACCTTAGAAAATACGCTGTGGTGAACGGATTCAGGAGTCTAAAGACAGTGATGGCTCTGAAGTGGTGCACCAATGTTTTTAGCTAGGGGAATAGATTTGAAGTGGGTTGGCAACAACTTGCAATGGTAAAATGTCAGTATAGCTCATGACTTAATGGACAGGATATATGTAGAAGTATGGACTTGCATTTTAAATCGAAACCTGGTGCGAACAGGCAGTGTAGCTGGTTGGAATATTTTAGATACTTGTTGTAGTTTGAGGTACTATCTGATAAACCTTACTTCCAGCTCAACAAGCAGGCTGTGAGTACTACTCCTGATGCTGTTAACAAACAGGAAACCTGCAAATCATTGAATCTCACATGCGAAGAAGAGCTCTGCGTTAGTGCCGGCGTGTGCGGCACATCTTGCCAAGTTTGGTGCATTAATATGATTCTTGACATAACTTCTGCTGTAGTCTCTTTGCGCAGCATGGGCTTGAGTTTGCTTCAGGATATCTATCGAGTTTCAGCGAAAGTACTGAGAATTCCCATTCCTCGTAATAATGGGAATGGCATGTTCCTGCACTGTCTTCAACAGAAGGTGGAAAAGTGTTTGCTTTATTGCTTTGTCAGAAAAATGAAAGGCCTAGAACAATGCTCCTCAGCATCCTGGAAAGTGGGGGCTTGAAAGCAAGAGGAAGAGCCTTTCCACTTCTTCTGGTGTCCATCAGGGCAACGTGTTGGAGCAGCATGAAGGGAATAACGGGAGAGAAGTGTCAAGGCTGCCATAAACAAGCAGAAAATGAACGTCACAGTGAAGTCCTTGTGATAAGAAAGAGGGTAAATAACCTGTTAAAATGGGGAAAAGAAGCAGAAAGAAAATGGAATCCCCTGGCTAGAAACTGATGGCTCTTCTTTCTGGTTGCCCCAGTGGTGCCGTTCCTGCCCCCCGCTGCTGGCCTGGGAGACTCTGCTTGAAACCTGATCCATGGGACGGACCCGGAGAGCTGAGAACAGCCCTCGGGCAACCATGATGGGACCAGGGAGCTGAGAACAGCCCTCGGGCCACCGCGATACGGCTGCCAAGGAGCCACTCTCAGTTGGAGGGGACAACATTGAAGTGGCCAAA